ACAGGACAATGTCCATCCTACGAAGACGATAGCGCAACGTTATATCTCTCCGAGCGTTTATTCTCGCAAAACATAAATATAGATGCGCATAACGTTTCTACGTGTTGAAGCGAAATCAAGCTTTGCGCTAAACTTTCCCCCTCCCCCCGCCCCCCCCCCAGACCCCAAAAAAATCAAATGGTAGCAAGCGCGACGGGCGCAATTGTACGATGTGTGTTACACGTAAACGCTGTGCCGTATCCGGAGGGTGTACGACTCTCGGGAGGCGCGGCGACGAGGTGTAAAACGGTGCCGTGGCATGCGACAACACCCAGAATTATGTTATCCAGAACTTATAGGCGTACAACCCCGGGCGTTACGAACGTCGCGTAACGGCGGAGGATCGCAAGTGAAATAATAGGAAAAAAAGAGGTAAAACCTGTAAATTAGGCCTCGCCATACCTTGTTAGAGCACTGGGCAATTCGACCTTGACAGGTAGTCTTAATTTATGCATTTTACTTTATACGTACACACACTACTATGTCATTTACAGTACAGTCTCCCCCTCTCTCTCTTTCTACTCCCTCGCGCTCACTCTATCTCTCTCTCTTTCTTTCTCCCACAGCCAGATACGTTGACGCGCGCGACACACACACACACACGTGCACGCGCGCGCGCACACACGCGTTTACACTGCTGCGTGCTGCGTGCTACGTGCGGAGCAACGTAACGGGAAACATAACCAACAAAATCATGCGTCTGAATATGATCGCTTTCTTAAAAAGAGGGGATACAGGAAGGAGAGAGAGAAGAGAGAGAGAGAGCGAGAAAGAGAACGAACGGAGCTTGGTATGGAGAAAAGGAGAGACCGTGGGGAAAACCACAAAGAGAGAGAGAGAGAGAAAGCGAGAGAGAATGTGTGAGAAAGAAGAGGACCACACAACACTAATGAAACGACACACGAACGAAACTAACCAACTATATACGGAGGAGCGGGGGAGAGGGCAGTCTAGTGAGTGATTTTACATGGACACTGGACGGCAAACGACTCCTCTTCGAGCTCGCGCTCGTCTCTCGGCGACGACGGACTTTCGGGGCTAGACCTGCTCGCAAATTCATTTAGTCACTGTGATAGCCACGCACGCACGCATGTATGTAACGTCGCTCCGCTCCGGCGCGTATATCGGACGACGCCGTCGCCGGTGGCGATCCGTAAAGGTCCAACGCGCTGGTCGCCCCGCCGTCAACCGACGTCGCACACACACTAAACACTGGCCTGCGCTACGCGGCGGACAACTCGCGCCGCTTCTTCCGCAGCCTCAGCCGCGGTTCGCGCATTTCGACCAGACGTGACGTCCCGTAGAAAAAAAAAGGACGAGCGAAGATGGCGTCGCCCGACTCCGGTCCCGTTGTTCATCGGCGCACGGACGGGACGTCCCCGGGGGTCGAGAAATGACTGATCCGCACGGGCAGCGACGGAGGAAGCGCCGAGGAATCACGTGCGAAGATCTTTTAGCGTTCGTAGCACGAGGCGAGGCGCGAGACTCGTATGCGCGCGCGCTCGTTTCTGGCCCGTCACGAACGTCCCGACTCGTTGCCGCGCGACGACGCGAGTGCCACCGGCGGCGGTCGCGGCAAGCGAGTTACCGACCGATACTTACCCGCCAAAATTCGAACCGTTTCCCCGCGGTTCTGCGGTCAAACTGCCGCTACAGATGTTTCCAAAGGTGCGTTCGGGGAGCGCGCTTTCAGCGCTAAAAGCGTCTTCTATCTTTGTTCGACGTACAGTGAGTGACGAAGATAGACTGACGTTTTCAGCGCTAATAGCGTCTCCCCGAACGCAGCCCAAGTATACTTTCTTTTTTCCCCTTTCTTTCGGTAAAGATAAAAGGAGAAGAGAAACGCTTCAAAACATTTGTAGCGGCAGCTTGATCGTAGCCGACGTTTCACAACGAGATAACGTGTAAAGCCAGTATCAGACTACGAATTGAGATTGGGATTGGATTGAAATTTGACCAATCACACAGTAAAGTTTACTAATCTCAAGTTTAGTAATTTACTCTAATTTGGTCTTTCAATCTAATCTCAATCTCAATCCGTAGTCTGATACCAGGCTTAAGGGTCTGTCCAGGCAAACTTGCGCAGGTGCATAAGCATACGCATAAAAAATTGATTCGTCCACCTCCTTATGCGTGCATTTATGACCCAATCAGATCCCATATGCATAGCGCATAATATATGCATAAATACACGCACGAAATAGGGCTATCGCACACAAAATTGCAAAGCTGCATACGCGTAGCATAAGAACCGTCTGAACCAATGTGTGAGCGTCGAATAGTAAGTCACATATTGACATATTCATTAAGGTATACGGTCTATCCAGACAAACTTGCATAGCGCATAAACACATGCATAAGGAAATAAACCAATCAATTTCTTTATGCATGTGTTTATGCACTTATACAAGCTTGTCTGGATAGACCCTTATTAGTCTAGACTGTCTTATGCTATGCATATGCAACTATGCAATTTTGTGTGCAATGGCCCTAGTGTCTAGACCGTTTTATGCGAGGGGGAAACCGCTGAGGGCATTGTGGTGTACAGATTTGTGGCATTACCGGGCATTACTAGGGCATTTTTGGGGCATTACGTCTTGCTGAGGCATTATAAAGATAAAATAAGATAAAATAAGATACAATAAGATAAAATAAGATAAAACAAGATAAATAAGATAAAAGAAGATAATAAGATAAAGTAATGCCCACTGGGCATTAGTGGGCATTGGTGTACAAGATTTTGGTCAGCGGTTTCCCCCTCGGTTTTATGTTATGCATATGTAGCTGTGCAATTTTGTGTGCAATAGCCCATAGACAAATCAATTTCTTTATGCCTATGGTTATAAGGTCAATGTCCTTACTTCTACTCATTCAAGACAAATGGTCAGGGTATATTGGTATATTATTTTTTTTAACTAAGATAAGTTAAAGTTAATTACAATGGATAAGTTTAGTCGACCTTAACTGGCACGTGTTTAATTAACCACAAATAAAAAATATACAGTGCGACGTTTCGACCAAGTGTTTAGGTCCTGAGAGAACGATTATTGGCTTATTCTCTTTAGAATGTGTGCTTGACAAGGACTCACTAATACGTGTCCCTATTTCTGCTCATAAAAATAAATGGAAACCTTTAGCGCTGACGAAAAGTATCCATTCGACTAACAATAAGTTTCAGTAACTGAACAAAATCTAAATCGCTAATACTAATTCAAATGAGTAACGTCACGATCAAAGCTATCATTGACGACAATTGTTCGGTTAGGAAAATTTATTTTTAAATACGTGCTGCTACCTGGCGAGCAGCGAACCCATGCAACTTACGAGGGAGTATATAAATAATTTATAATTAATTTTTCTATAACTTATTCTATTAACTAAATATTTATATTAGAAAGAAAAGTTCGTAGTGAGTAGAAATCAGGATTTTAGTAGAAATAGGGACATTGACCTTATACCTGTGCAAGTTTGTCGGGTTAGACCCTGCTCTGTGCTAACACGCGTGATTTGTAATAATAAAATCTACGGTTTGATCCCGGCCCTCGTTCCGCATATTTTCTTGATAACGAAATTTCAAGAATTCAAGGATTTCAAGATTCTCTTGAAGGTGCAAAATGGTTGGATTTGTTCGGCCAAGGTTAAATACGCAAATTTTAAGGAATTTTTAGTTATAGGATCAAATAATCGAAACGGTAATAATAGCACTTAAAATACATCCCCCCCAAAAAAAGTTTCACAACAATGTCGGAAATAAACATCAATCGAATGTCATCAGAATCTCTTTCGAAGATGTCAAATGAGATTACTCGCTGATTTACAAAGTCTGATGTATGTACAAAGACTGACGTAAATGTTTATCACCATTTATGTTATATGTACAGCGTAATCCACACAAAGAAAGCGAGTTTTCCATTTGACTGAGAATTGAACGACATCGTTCATATGGATTTCAAGGTAACTTGTCTTGACTTTGAAAATAAAATCAGTGTTTAAAGAAAACAGCACTAACCAGTGGAACGAATCGTTTGCTTCGCCTTTTTTTTTAAGGAACGATAACGAAAAAGACTAACGCGTTTCCGTATCGCCGAGTCACCGATGTAATGAACACTGTTGAAAGATATTCGATACTTAGCAAGTACGAAAGTGCCTAAGCACGAGAACGAAACGAGAATAATGAAGAATGGTACCTACAGAAATAGCGATGACAATATTGCTTTATTCAAAGCGGATAAAATACATTTATTCATGTGTCGCTTAAATGCTGCTCGCAAATCTGGCTGGGAGTACAAACGCGACCATGATATATGTATACGATCTGATCCTTTCTTCGAGTGATGATTGGATAACGCATAATGTAACTGTAATAATAAAATAATGGGTAACATGATAAATAACCGACATAGTATGTCTCACATCTATACACAAAGTATAGAATTGCTACAAGTATCTAATAACAGAAGCAGAAATCAAACGTGGCTGTGCTGCAATGATTATTACAACTGTCGAATACAATTAAACGTGACATTGTTAAACCTACGATCTACACAATTGCCCTCCTGCTTTTCGCCGCGGATTAAAATCGTGAGCCCGATGTCCGATGAACAATCCCAAATAGTCAATTGTCATCATTTTGACATAAAAATGCCGACAAAGAACTCGGCTGACTATCTGGGAAGATTGATTAAACTGACAATATGCATGTCTGACTTTTTTTGCGACAAATAATTAATAAAAAGAATATACTGTAATATTAATAATATTAATATTATTAATAATTAATCATTTCTTGTAAACGGTAGAAAAGTAATTAAATCTTTATTAACAATAGCACGTTTTTTACGCCAGTATTATTCATGCAACTCATAAACGCCAAGGCCGGGCAAACATACGGAGGAGTGGGTGCAAAGCGTATGCAAAGAATATGTGTTTTGGGAAAACGACAATCGCGGATAATCGCTCACCTAAGCAACGCTTTCCTCCAGCAGTAGTCCGTCTCGATAACGAGCAACTGCAATTTCATCATATATGTGGACGTGGTCCAAGGCATACAAACGAATCCTATACGTCTAAGGGGGTCTTCTCTGTCTCCCGGCGAAAATTTTCCTCCATCTTCAATTCTCTTTTTCTTTTTTGCTCGCTGCTCCTCTGTCTTTTCGTCAACGAAGGCGCGGTTCTTCGTTACCCGAGTTGCGATTAGCCGCGTGTGCGCGACCCAATTATCCGAGTCTGTACTATCGATCAGTCAGAACAGAACACACGGAACAAAGCTGAGTGAACTGACGCGCAAAGACTCTCTCTCTACCTCCTTCCACTTTCTCTGCCATGAAAGAAGAAAAGAAGCAGGAAGATGCAAGTCTTCCTGGGAATCGTATGACACACTGCACAGTAGTTAGAACGGGTAAAACAATGATGACCGCTTATTCGGAAAGCGGTAAAACGGAAGCGCGCGAGTTGCTCAATCTCAAAAGGAATGTCTTCCGATCATCTTCGTAGTTTCTTGCTGTTGCATATCTCTATCGGTTATTTTCTCACACCAAAACTTGGATAATGACGAAAAAAAAATGGTAAGGAAACCCGCCTTGCTGGCTGGCTGGCCCGTCCGCTTGCACCATAGCGCTTCTCCGCCGGACACGTCGCGACGCCGACGAAGGCGCACGCGCTGTCTCATGGATCGCCGTTTCTTCGTTTCACGACGAGTGTCACGACCAAGTAACACTACTAGTGACGTCATGCAGGACAAGGGCACTGGTTCACTCGTGAACGTTGGGCAGCTGTATAGGATTTACTTTCCAAGGACACGAGCATTCGAGATTCACCCGCGAAGATCCACCCTATACATATCAGGATACTTCTATCGGACTAGTATATTAATATTTCTTGAGAATAACGTCTTTAAAGAAAAAAATCAATACGGACAAATGTAATGTAACACAATCAGAATGTGTGCGTGAGTGTGTGAAAATATAAAATTTTTATCTACATACAGGATAAAAAATAAGACATTGCTATAAAATTTGTCTTAAAACTGAAATAAACAGTGGAATTACTGACATTATTTTATTTTTACTACCGATATTATTTTTCAAATCAATTTAGTAACGCGTGTCTGTTAAAACATTCAACAAGTGATATATGCTATACATTCTCTCATGTAAAAATGTAAAATTAATAAATAACCCGCCGAAACTGAAAAGAAATTGCGCGCAGAAAATTAATTAATTTTAAAAGAATAGCTAGACCTCTTTCTATCTCTTTCTCTCTCTCCCTCTCTGGATGACCGCGATTTTATGGTTCTTCATACACGGCCGCAAAAATGTTAGCTCCTATAAGGAGACCATGAGCGCATGCATAAAAAAATTAACCAATCAATTTCTTTACGCATCTGCTTATGCGCCTATGCAAGTTTGTCTAAATATAGACCCTAATAATCTTTAAAATCTGGAATTTGTTCATAAATTCTTTTTATTATTAATATTTATATATAAATTATATTGCTATGTTGCTGCAATGTCACAGCAACGTTATAGCAATATTTCACAATGTTTCTGCAACGTTGCAATCTCACAGAAAAATATTGCTGCAATATTGTTGCAATGGGGTGCGTTCCGTTTCTCGCATGATGCGCATGATGCATCATTTATCCTTGTTATTCGCCAAATATTAAAGAAAGATAAATGATGCATTATGCACATCATGCATGAAACGGAACGCACCCTTGCTGTGCTATATGGGTACATATTATACATATATCATAGTAACGTATAACTAGTATGATTGTAATATCACATAGTGTCTCGCGCCAAGTATAAGCGACTAATGTCCGATTTCTTCACATCCAGTTATGTTACGGTTAAAGTTAAACGGGAGATAACTACCAGATCCATGCACGTGATTGGCCAAAACTTGAGATTAACCTCCGGATAATTTTATCGGGAAGTGAAAAAATCGGCCATAAGTATAAGCGACAAACTAAAACCACGTTGAATATACAGGGTGAGGAAAAAGTACCGGACCGGTGAAATATATCGACAAATATGGGAGATATGGAAAAATGTTTCCGACAAAAGTTGTACGATTTTAAAAGGGCTATGTAATGGTAAAATAAAAAAAATTTTATGGTTATATAGAGCTCGCCGTCATTTTTTTAAATGCAACTCCCTATTGTTTCTTACACTATCTTATTCTACTAATTAACATGAACAACTATTGTCTGAAACATTTTTTGATTTGTCTAATACTTTTTGAGATACTCAAGAGAAAATTCATAACTTTTTCAACTTTTAGCTTATAATCTCTCGATAACTGTTTGTCGGAGGGAAAAGTAGTACAGGACTTTTTTTACTTGATTTAATTTCAGGAATATGCTGTTGCAATGGTGTTTCAATTATTGAAAAATTTTGTGTTACAATACAATGTTGTGATACTAATGTAACACGGTATTGCGTTTACATTGAAAGTGCGTTGGCTAACATTGCCCAATATAATTTTAATATTGAACATAGAATAAATGCTACTGTAACGCCAATGTTATACGTGTCAATAATTGAAAAAATATGAGGCCCTCCACCATCCCCGCCAATTTCACTCGACGGCCCTTTTTTCTTTACAATGTAATTTTTTATTATACAATTTTAATATATACAAAAAAATTTTATTATTTATTTTATTTTTCTTGTAATTTCCTTCACAATGTATACAATATTATAAAAGAAATAATTACATTATAAAATTAAAAATATAAAATCTATACAATACAATATTTCTGTCGACGTTACATATGAAATATTCGGTATGCATACAATAACATTAAATTCTTGCAATATTATATATTATACATATTGCACGTTTGGGATAAAAAATATCCCGAATGTATTTATTAACGGTCTCTCAAAAGTAAATCACATCTACAAAAATTTAAAATAAATTTAAAGTAAAAACTTAACAAACGCATAACAACTTCAATCTTATTATATGCATCCGATTACACATATAATTATATTTAATAGTAACACATTGAAGTTATAATTTTATCTATCTTTTTAATTATGTCCCCCTGTCCCTACCCGATCCCTACCTACCTACCTACCCGTATTCCTACCTACCCGTATTCCGCTGTATAGTCCTATCAATTTTTCTACCTACCCGCGTTTCAACTTTTTGTTAATAAACTTGCAAGTCTTTCGTTAAAACCGCGACGCGATTTATAACAGGTTTAGAGTTATACGCGCGCGATTTAATAGAGGTCTTTTTAATTTTGCACATATGCTAGAATAAGTAAAGAAGGAAAGAATATAACCCACCCGAATTTTTGCACATAAGAAGAAATCGGCATATATCGTACAACACATTCACATAATCCATCAAAGTGGCCAATATTGACCACTAACTCGGCGTATCCCTTCGTTGGGCCAGATTGGACATATACCTTTCGTTGCTCCCGGCCATACGGTCTGGTCATTTTGACCAGAGATCAGGAAGGAAGAAAATTCCTTCCATAGTCGGTTTATCACCGACAGTTATTTCGTACGGTTCGATATGCGAGCGTCGATCGTATCAAAATGCGCGACCGCGAGAAGTTAATTAAAGAAGAAAATTAAGTGAAAAAATTTGCCGTATAAAACTCTTCAAATATATTTTTACTTCCGTTATTTATTTGAGAATAGATAATGACTGTCTCTTCGTGACTCGATCTTTAAATTCAAAGTTCAAGTATATATTATACGTATAATATGTAGAAAAAAAACAATTTACTTCGCGTTGTATTTATTAAAATTCCGCGATAAATTAAAATTTACAATATAAATGAAATTGAACAATTAATAACTTGTTGAAAATTTGCTGAAAAACCGCGAAAACCGACCGCGACAATACGAAGATGCGTGTAACAATGCATGTATTCATGCGAGACGCATCTTGAAAGTGAATCGCGGGATACACATACAGAATAAATGACGTGAGATCCAGAGAAAAGCAACTTTCCGTACGATAGATAGACCGACAATTGAACATTCTAGTTAATCAACAATCTCAAATAACGTATGAAAATAATATAAATCCTGGCTGGGGTAATATTTCTCGCAATAAAAATTTTAATTGCCAGATACGGTCAAGAAAAATCACCGATGTTATTAATTTATTAATTACTTCTGGCGACTTTGAAGAATATTCTTACTAGTTGAAAATAATATAAAGTTTCAGCGGTCTCGACAAGATATTAGATCTCGCGTCATAGTTTTTGGACTTTATATACATGTATAAATTTGCTACTGAAAAATGGATAGAATATGTTACAAGGGATTAGCTCGACGAATAAATTAATAATATTCGTCATATTTTGCGTGAAAATGTGTGACGTGCAGCAACCGAGCACACCTCTACAATCAAAATCGCGATCATTCCCCTTCGACAAATGAAATATATTAAAGTGAACTTATGTTATAATCTATCCATATTTTGGTAATGAATCTCCAGAATATATCAGTCCATGATCTACATTCTACACACAGAAAAATATTATTGTACAGTCAAGAAAAGTAATTACTCAGTTTATTTTATTCCGTTTAAGTAATAGTTTGCTTCAACAGAGGATATATATTTTCTTAATAATAGTTTTAAGATATACTTGTTACCAGTCTTAGAAAAATTTGCCATCTTATACTCAAAGAAAGAATTTATTCTTCTTTGAAGAAAATTATAAAACTTATTGAAGAATTCCGTATGCTTCTTTTAATAAAATCAGAAGAAACAAAATTGTTTTGCTTCAAATAATTCTATATGTATTCTTGTTTCAAGTACTAGACTTACTAATAAAGAACCAGAATATGTTTTGAGTAAATATAACACTCGCGACGACATTATGATAGATTTGCGGATATATAAACTTATCAAATATTTTTCTGTGTGTACGATCTACGAGATTCGTTACCGCAATAAAAAACTACTCACTCACCGACCGACGCGCAGCAGCGGAGTTGACTACGTTGATTCTGTAACACAAATGTACAATTCGTTAAAGCAATGTTCAATGTGAAAAATAATATTGTAAAATATATTTGCAAAATATATAGTCGCGTGAGTAATTCTTATGCGTATCAAACTTCATTCGATTCGATGTTCAAGTGATTAACGCGCAAGAGATTTTTCGCGAAAGAACTTCACGAGAATGAACTTTTATGAAATATCAAGTGGTTGCTTGTTCTCTAATTATCATTTTGACATTATTGAATTATGAAAGGGAACGACTAAAAGAGAAACTGGGAGATTACTTTTACACAAAATGAAAAATGACATTTACCTTAAAGTTGCTCCGCCGGTGCCTGATGCCGTTTCCAGGCCTGCTCTTCCTCTCAGATTGGTCCTCTGGCACACTCGCGAAAGCACAAAGATCGTTCGCGCGATTTTACACTCCCGTAAAGCCCACCATGTGAAAGCAAGTATTTTGTTCCGTCAAGTTCGCCTCCACTTCGAGTCGGCGAGTATTATACGAAAAACTGCCAAATCTCGGAAGTGATCGACAGGAACGGACGTTTGACAAATACTTGCTTCTCAAATGGGCTTTGAAAAGTCTTTAGTCCAATTATTTTAAACGGCACTCCCGAACGCGACGAAAATGGAAATTTTACGCGCACTTTTGTATGTTTAATTGTTAAGGAGATTATTTCTTGGTACGCGATCGATGTATTATAAGTGTTCGTTATTATATTATCCGACGATTCGTGTACTACCTCGCGCTTTTCATCTGAAAGCGATAAATGTTTCACTTAAACCGACGAAAATTTTCAAGCACTCCGCGAAAGAGATTCATTCCAGTTGGATTATTGAAAAAAAGGCACTGTCACTCGTAGATGTAAGTATCGGAACTAATAATTTCACTATGTAATTCACTTATCGCTTTCTCTTCAAAGCACGCGTGATATTCGTCTCGACACACCGTATAGATCAACGAATATAATCACGACAATTAGTTCTCGCACGAGACGATCGCGTTACGAAAAGTGACGCGAAGACACACGGAACGGAACATCCGACTCGGTCGACTGATACGCGCCGAATGATGCGACACAATAGAGACCGTTTTCGACCGAGGTCACGGTCACGAGGTGATCACGTTCACGGCGCTATGTAATTTTTTGTTTACCGGCGCTCGGCGACCGAGCTGTTTACGCCGTAACGATCATTTCCTGGAATCAAAGCTCGGGCTGTGACGTTACGTGTTTCTTGGAATCCACGCTCGGGTGTTTACGACGCCGTACGCAAGTTCATTCACGCGGCGACAGTTGAACGAGGCGTATTGTATTTTCTCTCTCGATACGCGTACGCGCACAAGTGCGGAATGAAATCGCGATCTTTTCTCTGCGAAAAATCAGTGAACGATATCATCGCGCGATCGCGATCTGTACGTCGAGGAATCAAAGCCGAGATCAGAGCGCCAGCTAACTTGAAATCACTTGCTCGGACCAATAATTACGGACGATAATTGCTTCCTTGAACGATGCTCGCACCCTCAGAAAGGACTTATGTTACCGGTGACAAACGGACTCGTACAAATGCTGGTCAGTCGGATGTTCCGCGTGTCTTCGCGTCGCTTTTCGTAACGCGATCGTCTCGTGCGCGAACTGTCGTGATCATATTCGTTGATCTCTACGGTGCGTCGAGACGAATATCGCGCGTACTTTGAAGAGAAAGCGATAGGTGGATTACATAGTGAAATTATTAGTTCCGATACTTACATCCACGAGTGACAGTGCCTTTTTTTCAATAATCGAACTGGAATGAATCTCTTTCGCGTAGTGCTTGAAAATTTTCGTCGGTTTAAGTGAAACATTTATCGCTTTCAGATGAAAAGCGCGAGATAGTACACGAATCGTCGGATAATATAATAACGAACACTTGTAATACATCGATCGCGTACCAAGAAATAATCTCCTTAACAATTAAACATACAAAAGTGCGCGTAAAATTTCCATTTTCGTCGCGTTCGAGAGTGCCGTTTAAAATAATTGGACTAAAGACTTTTCAAAGCCCATTTGAGAAGCAAGTATTTGTCAAACGTCCGTTCCTGTCGATCACTTCCGAGATTTGGCAGTTTTTCGTATAATACTCGCCGACTCGAAGTGGAGGCGAACTTGACGGAACAAAATACATGCTTTCACATGGTGGGCTTTACGGGAGTGTAAAATCGCGCGAACGATCTTTGTGCTTTCGCGAGTGTGCCAGAGGACCAATCTGAGAGGAGGAGCAGGCCTGGAAACGGCATCAGGCACCGGCGGAGCAACTTTAAGGTAAATGTCATTTTTCATTTTGTGTAAAAGTAATCTCCCAGTTTCTCTTTTAGTCGTTCCCTTTCATAATTCAATAATGTCAAAATGATAATTAGAGAACAAGCAACCACTTGATATTTCATAAAAGTTTATTCTCGTGAAGTTTTTTCGCGAAAAATCTCTCGCGCGTTAATCACTTGAACATCGAATCGAATAAAGTTTGATACGCATAAGAATTACTCACGCGACTATATATTTTGCAAATATATTTTACAATATTAGTTTTCACATTGAACATTGCTTTAACGAATTGTACATTTGTGTTACAGAATCAACGTAGTCAACTCCGCTGCTGCGCGTCGGTCGGTGAGTGAGTAGTTTTTTATTGCGGTAACGAATCTCGTAGATCGTACACACAGAAAAATATTTGATAAGTTTATATATCCGCAAATCTATCATAATGTCGTCGCGAGTGTTATATTTACTCAAAACATATTCCGGTTCTTAGTAAGTCTAGTACTTGAAACAAAAATACATAGAATTATTTGAAGCAAAACAATTTTGTTTCTTCTGATTTTATTAAAAGAAGCATACGGAATTCTTCAATAAGTTTTATAATTTTCTTCAAAGAAGAATAAATTCTTTCTTTGAGTATAAGATGGCAAATTTTTCTAAGACTGGTAACAAGTATATCTTAAAACTATTATTAAGAAAATATCCTCTGTTGAAGCAAACTATTACTTAAACGGAATAAAATAAACTGAGTAATTACTTTTCTTGACTGTACAATAATATTTTTCTGTGTGTAGAATGTAGATCATGGACTGATATATTCTGGAGATTCATTACCAAAATATGGATAGATTATAACATAAGTTCACTTTAATATATTTCATTTGTCGAAGGGGAATGATCGCGATTTTGATTGTAGAGGTGCGCTTGGTTGCTGCACGTCACACATTTTCACGCAAAATATGACGAATATTATTAATTTATTCGTCGAGCTAATCCCTTGTAACATATTCTATCCATTTTTCAGTAGCAAATTTATACATGTATAAAGTCCAAAAACTATGACGCGAGATCTAATATCTTGTCGAGACAGCTGAAACTTTATATTATTTTCAACTAGTAAGAATATTCTTCAAAGTTGCCAGAAGTAATTAATAAATTAATAACATCAGTGATTTTTATTAACCGTATCTGGCAATTAAAATTTTTATTGCGAGAAATATTACCCCAGCCAGGATTTATATTATTTTCATACGTTATTTGAGATTGTTGATTAACTAGAATGTTCAATTGTCGGTCTATCTATCGTACGGAAAGTTGCTTTTCTCTGGATCTCACGTCATTTATTCTGTATGTGTGTCCCGCGATTCACTTTCAAGATGCGTCTCGCATGAATACATGCATTGTTACACGCATCTTCGTATTGTCGCGGTCGGTTTTCGCGGTTTTTCAGCAAATTTTCAACAAGTTATTAATTGTTCAATTTCATTTATATTGTAAATTTTAATTTATCGCGGAATTTTAATAAATACAACGCGAAGTAAATTTTTTTTTTCTACATACTTATAATATACATGTATACTTGAACTTTGAATTTAAAGATCGAGTCACGAAGAGACAGTCATTATCTATTCTCAAATAAATAACGGAAGTAAAAATATATTTGAAGAGTTTTATACGGCAAATTTTTTCACTTAATTTTCTTCTTTAATTAACTTCTCGCGGTCGCGCATTTTGATACGATCGACGCTCGCATATCGAACCATACGAAATATCTGTCGGTGATAAACCGACTATGGAAGGAATTTTCTTCCTTCCTGATCTCTGGTCAAAATGACCAGACTGTATGGCCGGGAGCAACGAAAGGTATGTCCAATCTGGCCCAACGAAGGGATACGCCGAGTTAGTGGTCAATATTGGCCACTTTGATGGATTATGTGAATGTGTTGTATGTACGATATATGTTGATTTCTTCTTATGTGCAAAAATTCGGGTGGGTCATATTCTTTCCTTCTTTACTTATTCTAGCATATGTGCAAGATTAAAAAGACCCCTATTAAATCGCGCGCGTATAACTCTAAACCTGTTATAAATCGCGTCGCGGTTTTAACGAAAGACTTGCAGGTTTATTAACAAAAAGTTGAAACACGGGTGGGTAGGAAAATGAATAAGACTATATATGGATCGATAGGGATTCGGGTAGGCAGGGACAGGAGGACATTACTGCATAATTAGAAAGATAGATAAAATTATATCTGCAATTTTTTATTATTATTAATATAGTTAATTAACTATAGTTAATTGCACTAGTGCAGTAATGCAGCGATAACGAACAGACCAAAGGTAACCAAATAATAATAATAATAATAATCCCGCGTTCAGAGTACAGATTCGAGACACCTCATTGGTTCCGCCATTTTGCGTCAAACCAATCAAACGGAGAATATTTCTTGCCAGACTCTTACTACAGGGACTCTAGGTTTTCTTGTTCGAGTCTTCACTCTTCATACTTTATGTTCTCGGCAGATATATACGTTAGTGTCTTCCTTGCATTTCTTTCTCCATTCTTTGCAATTTGAAAAATATTTTAGGATGAATATTCAGACGTGTGTAACGTTAGTCCAAATGAATTGATACAGATTGAAACAACGTAAAGATAAGCGGTAATATGTTCAAGAATATAATCTAATCATGGAGTACGTTAGCGAGATACTTTTGCTCGGAGTTGATACGATTGTATTCACCATCTGTTTGAAACAGTATATTCATTACAAAAATACGATTAAGGCAATCAAGGTAGATGGTATTCATTTGTTGTTAAAGCTTCGAAATGTGTCTAAGTTGGGATATCTTAAGATATTAAAGGCGATTATAAAAAGAGCATGTGTTTTGTAGAGTGTCGAGCTGTACGACGTTGGTACAGATTTGGAGAGTCTATTGGATAAGAGCCCAAATAACAAAGTTGATTACATCGCTGTCAGAGGGATTGTGAAACCGTTACGAGACTCGTTGCAGAGCGTTAATAAAAAAGATGTTACCGGAGTCATACAGAAACTTAGTGTCAGAGAGCACGTTGTCGCAAGAACGTCAGCTGGTTATTGGTGGGATTACACATTCCAACTCTTTACAAGCAATTCTAATTATAATATTAATATCAATTTGACAATGTTATTGTACTGCTTTTTAAATTGTTCAATTTGTAAATCCGCAGGTCCGACCAAGAACGGACAATTCATCAAGTGTGTAATAGCGTACCGTTTGTTCTGCGTAATAGATGGTACTCTGTAGAAATAATAGATCCATTATCCGCTGATATTCTAGATTTGGAAGTAATCTCTGATAATTTTCAACCTAGTGTTCCTACGATTATAGATCACATATGGGGATTTTTTACAGGTACAGGAGAGTCCCCTATTATCAGATAGGCTCCTAATGAGAGCGGGGTTTTTGCTGAATTAATGGGCATCTGCTAGCTCCTACCCTTGGAATGAAATCTGTTTAGTGGAAAATTTATTGTTAAATCACGCGTGTAATGGTCGCGAGAAAGATTTGTGAAATTGGATGTTGACCCGCTAATCCTGTATTAGGATCCTATCTTATAATAGAAGACTTTCCTCTAATTACAATAGAACGTACACTAGAGCTATTCATTTTTACTATGTAATATAAAATTATATTGCGTATATTTTGTGAAAAGTGTACACGCATCGTGTTCTTAAGCTTGCATTTATATGATTTATTAGGAGTGCGTCAACGTGGTATACAGTCCACAGAAAAAATGTTGCGTGAAGATTCAGTTGTCACAGCAATAGGTGAGCTCTCGAGGTCGAAAACTAAATCCAATTATTTTACCTCGCAACCTCCACTAAATGGATCTTTTTATATAACAAGCATGTCGATTGACGCCTTGATACGGAAATTGGACCATCGTCAAAAGATATATAGGCATGTAAATTCTAACAAATAATTAGAATATTATTTGTTAAACATCACGTTTATATTTATATTATTTTCTGAAACAGGATATTTTGTTTGATGAGTGGTGTAATTGGATTAGTACTTGGTGGAATTATGGCAAGACGCTATTGGAAGAATAAACAAGAACAAAGATTGGCAGAGCAGTTACGTCAATCGCTCGAAGCATCTCGCCAAGAAAGACGCCAAAGAGTCAGGGATATTGATCTCAGGGAAGATCAAATATGTGTGGTTTGCAGGACGAATGCACGTGAAATTATTTTACTACCTTGTGGTCACGTATGCATATGCGAAGATTGCTCAGTTAGCATCAATAACAATTGTCCTATTTGCAGAACACAAATCACTCATAGATCTGCGGCATATATAGTATAAATTTTATTTTGATATGCAAATTTTATATAACAAAAATGTTTTTATTGTATTAGAAAATGTATAAAGATGATGATTGATTAAAATAATATTGTCCTATGATTCTTTTTTACATGAATGATGGTTTTATTTATGAATCAAAACCTGATTTATGGGAAAAATGCATTATGACAGTCAAAAGGAGCACAGAATAAAACTATTCTGCGATGGTGTATAATTTTTAACATATATATATCTCTGTGATGTTTAATGAACATGAGAAACATGAATTACTTTTGTTATCAATTTTCAATTCTACTGTTTTAAAACTATGTGAAGTAATTTTATGTTTAAAAACTGATTAAATTTTTAATTGTACCAATAGAATGTTTTTTCAAATAACAATTAAATAATGCATATGTAGATGGTGTATTTTTCGTACAAACGTTTTACATACACATATTACATCTAGATATAGAAATCCTTAGAAATCTATACTTTGTTGTTTGTTGTTTTTATCTACGTGCAAACTCATTATCTTCTTAGCTTTATTAGATTTACCAATACCGAGTTTTGGCAGCCCTCTATTCAAACCCTCCAGCAAGACACATGCTTTACATATTTCTTGACTTGAAACAAATCCACATCGAGCACAATTTCTTCTCTCCGGCATTTTTATATTATCTTTCGCTTGCAACTGTTCACCTGGCAGATATCAATTGTTAAAATTTCAGGTTATTAACAGCGTTAATATTATAACGGGATATTACACGACATTTTTACCTGAATGTATTACGTCTATAATAGATGAAGGTCTTATTTTCTCTAAATCCTTCAGAAAGGCTCGTGCGTGACCTCTGTATGCATTTGGAGCATATATGCATTCTGTGGAGAAGTATACTAGACCTTTAAAAAATGCGTACATGACAATCTCTTTTTCATACGCATATTTCAGCGGCTTACAGCGCATGATGGAATCTGCACCAGTCTGGATAAAATAATTACATAAAAACAGACGTCAAACATTTGTTGCAATTTCATATCTTCAATAATACACTTACAGTGATCACAGATGTACATCTCTGTAGTCGGGCAATATCACCTCTCAAGATATTCATTAATACAGTTTCAGCGATATCGTCCGCATTATGACCCGTTACGATGCAGTCCACCTTCAAAACCGCAGCCCCTCTGTCCAATGCCTGTCTTCGGAAAACACCGCAAAAGGTGCAATTATTTTTACGGCCAATCTGAAATATATATTTCGTTATTTGTACGCGTGTTCGCTCTTGAAGATCTTGAAGTTAGGCTGATGGCAGAAAACGATCCGTAAACACTCAAGTCTGTCTTACAATTAGTCGTAGACGTAAGGCAAGTCGTAGACGACTTAAGTTTTTTTTTGCCTTATCTTACGTCTACAACTTATGACAGTCTCAGGTGCTTTGTTCTCTGCAATCAGCCTTAGTAAGCTGAATTGATAACTCCAGGCTTAACTTAGCTCACCTCCGTGACTATAGAATCCATTGTCCATCCATACAATTCCTCATATGATAAGATCTTTAGTGGAATACCGTAATCATCTCTATTCTGCATCACAGTTTTCAAGCTATCATCTCTATATCCTAAAATAGTGCGTTGTGAAGGAAAATTATATTTTTTTAATGTTACAACTTCATATTACTTTTACAATCACTTTACCAGTAATTCCTTCATCGATGGACAAGAGAAACAGATCCAATCCATACTTGTAACTTTCATTCAGAGTTTTTAAAATGTATGCTAATACAGTGGAATCCTTTCCACCCGATGCTCCAATGGCAACCTTGTCGCCAGGCTTGAACAATTTACCAGTGACAATAGTATCGTGAATTTCGGTCTCAAACGCCAAGAAAAAACATTCCTTGCACAATGTGTCGCCGGTTTTTGGCCTCTAAAATATATACGGTTTTCAAAAATTATATTTAATAGTACGATAATATAGTGAGCAATCTTTTATAGAGTGTGTTTTAAAACTGAGAAAGTAATTCACCTTTAAACTGGCATTTTTCCCACACTTTGTGGAACACAATGGAAACGGAGGCATCTTTATTATTATTATTATTTTGCTACAGCTATCAATAATCAATTATAAAATCTTCAAATCTTGTTTTGTATATCTCCTTATTGACAAGTAAGATTAGGATTACGTCACAGATATGTCACGCACGATGGAGGAAACACACTCACAATACCGGCGGATCTAACAAAAGTCTCGGGTTTATTAATTTTCCTTAAAAGAATAGACAGTAAATTTTCTTTTCTACTTTTAAGAGTTGCAAGAGTTTCTGTCACATAGAAAAGAAAAAAAAAATGTTCAAAGCAGGACGCGCGATTTAATCCTCCGGTTTCTCCGGCGGTGGTCCGCAGGGTTGCAGCATCTTCTCCATAAGATTAAAGCGGACACGCGCTTTGGCTTCGTTTTCGGCGATCGCGAAGAAATTTAGCAAGTCGTAGTGACCCATATACGAACTGCAGGAATCCCGGTGCTGATTCACTAGCCACTCGAACTTGGTTGTGTCCGCGTGCCCAGTACCGATGTACTTCGATTGCAGATGCTCCAATTGACTATGGATGTTGTAGCGCTCGCCCATCTTTTCGAGGTAACTTCCTCGCAATTTCGTTGTTCCTTACGCTACCGAGTCAACGATCGGCGCTTCACCACCCGTGTCTCTGTAAATCTCTTCGGCAATTTACGTTCTCATAAAATTTCCCTTTTGCCGTTTAATATAAGGTTATGTTGACCAGTTTCGCCACGCGATATACTTCTGGAGGATTTACATTGGCCGCGTTCAGCGGGGAGAGTTGGCTCAGTGAGTGCTTCGCGCCGATTGGGTTGTACTTTTAGATCTGTGCTGTGATAGAACTATTCTTCTAGATTTTTAAAAAATCATCCAATCGGCTGCAAGCGCTCACTGAGCAGTTTGCTCCGCTGAACGCGGCCATTGGCTGCGTGTAAAAGTCACTAAATTTGAGTTTTGTAAACTTTAGGGCCGTCGCACACAAAATTGCATAGTTGCATATGCATAGTACGAGACAGTCTAGACCAATAAGCATTTTATGTAAATCAATGCACATGCACCTATGCAGTTTGTGTGCGATGGCCCCAACTCTGATTGGTCAAATTTCAATCTAATCCCAATCTCAATCTTTAAGTGGGGAGAGCACACACTTTTGCATAAGTGCATAAAACATATGCATAACGAATTTCATTGGTCTATACGCAAATGCACAAGGAAATGGACCAATCAAATTCGTTACGCATATGTTTATGCACTTATGCAAAAGTGTGTGCTCCCCGCTTTAGTCTGATACCGGGCTTAAAGCCCGTATCAGACTACGGATTGAGATTGGGATTAGATTGAAATTTAACCAATTACAGTAAAGTTTACTAATCTCAAGTTCAGTAACTTTTACTCTGATTGGTCAAATTTCAATCTAATCCCAATCTCAATCCGTAGTCTGATACGGACTTTAAGCCCGCTGCAGACGATACTATTTTTCCTACTGGATTGCTTGCGATTTACTAAATTACTAGGAATTCTAAGTGCTGAATGGTACAACGATAGTAATTTATTAGATTGCAAGCAATCCAGCAGGAAAAATAGCATCGTCTGCAGCGCGCTTTATTCAATGAAAGTCCAGATTTGACCAATCATAGCACGTGGTCATTTTAATCTGGGCTGCTTTCGCGAGAGGATCAAAATGATCCGGATTAAAATGACCCTGTGCTATGATTGGTCAAATCCGAAATTTCGTAGCATCACATTGAAATTTTATTCAATGAAATTCCAGATTTGACCAATCATAGCATAGGGTTATTTTAATCCGGATCATTTTGATCTTCTCGCGAAAGCAGCTTTGGATCATTTTGATTTTCTCGCGAAAGCAGCCTCCTCGAATGCAAAGATGCACTCACGACGCCTCGGATTTTTGCAATGCCGAACGCAGCTTTCGCCAATCCAAGATTGGCGGGTGTTGGGGAATTTATCTTTCCACTGCTCTCGTTCGTCGCCTCGATGCATTTCCAATATTTGCCGCGCCGCGGCGGTACTGTCGCGACACGGCGACTCTAGAGTACTGGCGAGAGCGTTACGTCACGCAGAGACGACGTGCTAATGGTTAATGGCTTCCACTCGGTCGAGCTAGACTTTTATGAGCGAGCCTGAATTGAATCCAAAGAAAATACATGAGATATGATGCGATCGGCCGGTAGAATCATGAAAATATGATCGCCTGAACTCCGTACGATCACGATAAAGATAAATTTCCGGCGAGAAACGTCGGTCATCCGCGAATTACGCGCTGGAACTGCTTTGCACGAAGAGGAACGACGTAACCGTTAACGCACTCTCATCGCCCCTACGTGTTGGCTTCGGACCTGATGCGAACAACACCGAGGCTCGCCGCGACGCTGCAGGACATACATCGCACGTAAGTACGATCGCGAGCCCGTTGTCGCGCGATTTCCCGGTCGGCCCCTCGCGATCTTAGCCGCCGCGAGCCCCGGATTCTCGCGCGGGGAAACGAAACTGGGCGAGTCCGTCGCTCGTACGTGTAGGCGCAATGGCGGCCGTACAAGTTCGTCCGAGGCACTCGTGGCTCCGCGTTCCACGCTGATCCCCGTGTCCGTGTCCGCTCGCTCGGCTCGTCGCTTCGCTCCCGGCCTGAATTCGAGCGGGCGCAACGCATCCTATTAGCATAACGCGATCGTTCGCCCGCCCGCAAGGTAATCCTCGCGACGTTGTTACGATATCGCTATATGTGTGCATCGCCGATATGTGTGTGCGTGCGCGCGCGCGCGCGCGGCCGCGCGTATACATACGCGTGCACGGTTGTCGGTCGCGCGTGAGTGTCACACGTATCCGTGACGATCAGTTTGGAGAGTCGAGATCTGCCGAGGCGGCGTCGAGGCGGCGTCGAGGCATGTCGAGGTGCATCGTAGCGGTCGCGTTTCCGTTGGCGTCGGGATAGGCGAGGACGGAGAGCCGCGTGCTCGCTCCTGGCCGATGCCTTCCCTCGCTCGCGTTCTCCGCGACGGCCGATAACAAATGCACCGCGATACAAAGTTGTACCTTTAAAGGGGGGGGGGTTTTTTTTTTAAGTCCGTGGTACGTGCATGTCAATTATGTTTGGCTGGAAAAATTAACGCGCGTGCGTATTCACACGAGTGTTTTTCGTTCCGACGATTGTACGTACCTTATGAATATTGTAAATGACGTTTAACACGCGTATATGTGCGTGCGTGCGTGCGTAAGGAACGATGTCACGCAATTGGATACGACGAGCGTGCACGCAGGACTCGTTGCTACATTCCACTTGCCCGTGAGAGAATTTGCTTATATCGTCGCGCCGATGCGCGATAGAGAACGTGCTCTCGTAATTAACACGTTGCTTTATTGACGCTCGCTTTATTTTCAGTAGGTGACATGCCTAGCACTCGTGATATCGAACGAGCCGAACGTAATGGGAGATTCCGATCACGAAGGAGAGGCAGCGCGAGCAGCGACGTGAATAGGCACAGCTTGGACGGCGCCGACAAGCGGCACAGGAGGCATGGCAAGAGCAAGAGCTCCGGGAAGAAGAAGAAGAAACGTTCGCGCGACAAGTCACTAGAGACAGTTCCGACCGTAGCCTCGTCCGTAGTGAAACCGTTGGTTGAATATTCCGACGTGAGTAGCGAGGACCTCTCGGAGCCCGAGGCGGGGGAGATACAGTCTGAGGACAGTCGCGCCAACAGCTACACAGATGGAGAAGTACCTGACACCTTCCTACAAAGACGATATTATGGCGGCAGTCCGGTCCGCGCCCTCGGGGCGTCACCGATCAGCCTGTCGCCGTCACCGTCGGCTCAGCACCGGCACTCCAGCAGACGGTACTCGTTGTCGAACGAGCAACAGCAGCCGACGACAGCGATGCACAGCGCGACGCCGGAGTACGAGGAAGAGTCGAGGCGGTACGCCCGGCGGAAGGAGAAGAAGCACAAACGCGAGAAGAAGAAGAAGATAAGCCTGAGCCCGTCGTCCAATTCGGGGAAGAAGAAGAAGAGGAAATCCAAGAGGCATTCTCACAGCGTGAGCCCGCATCACGCCGTCGCCGTCGAGGAGATCGCCCCGAGTCCGAGTCACGAGAAGCAGCTGTCGGTCGCCGCTTCCGCCAATTGGTCGGAGTCCCCGCCGTTGCGGCTCAAGGACCACATGTCGCCCATTTCTCCGGCTACGCCGCGTGAGCAGCGCTGCCTCAGTGACGATGTGGAGCTGGAGATGTCGAGGCAGACGTCCCGGAACGTTACCCCGCCGTCTCTGGCGTCGACACGTCAGGTGGAGTCGCCACATACGCCACTGATGCCGCCCTGCCACGCCACGACGCCGGAGAACTTGAACAAAACCGGGCCCGTCGCCGTGCCAAAGCACAGTCCCGATCGGCAGAAACGTAGCCCGAGTATCCACTTGACGCGCCGCGCCAGCGTCAGCCCGGGCCCCGTAAGCGGAAACCGCAGGAGGCCACACAGCCCGAGTCCACCGTTGAGACGAAGGGATCACAGTCCGCCGTCGCGTAGAAGGGACTTCAGTCCGGCTCCGGTGGTGCTGCACAGGCTCAGACACAGCCCGAGTCCGGCCACCGTCAGACGACGAGAGTTCAGCCCGAGTCCCGGAAGTAGTCATAGGCGACGAACGGACGGCGGAGCCATTTCCCCGAAGCGCCGAAGACGAGATGTGGAGTCCGACCGACGTAGTCATCGGCTCCACGACAAAGACAGGAGGGACAAGCGAAAGTCGAGGTCAACTAGGAGCCCCACCGGCAGCAGGTACGTTGACCCAAGTTCTACTCTCTTTTACCGTCGCGTCACACGTTCATGTAACAACTTTTCCGATTTTTCAGATTACATTTGCCACTGTCTCGATCGCGATCGCGCAGCCCGGGAAGATGGCGAAAGTTGTCCCGTTCGAGATCGCGTTCGCGCCCCAGAAGGAGCCGCACCCCGAAGAGATCGCGCTCGCCCAGCAAGTCCCGCAAGACCTTGAGAAAGCTCAAGTCGAAGAGTCCGCGTCCCAGAATACCATCTCCTTCTCCCCACAGATCCCGAGCTAGAAGCCCGTCGAGCATTACCGCCCGCAATCTTCGAGTACAAGCGAAGATCAGCGAGACTAGTCTGTTCGCGGAGCTCGTCAAGGATCGCAATATGCGGGAGCTGGCGTTCAAGAAGCTGCAGGCCGCCAAGGAGAAAGTCGGCAACCAGGACGAGGTGCAAATCATCGAGAGCATCGACGAGAAGGACGGCGACGGCGGCAACGCGTTCGCCGAGAATAAAACTTCCACTGACAATAAGGACAGATCTATCAATCACAAGGAGCAGCACGCGAAGGCTGGCGATGGCGTGGTCGACGTCACCGATATTCCCGTTCCGACGAGCGACGACGGCGCTATAATGTGCAAGACGCCGCCGTTGCCGCCGACCGGTCAACCGCCCAGCGCGCCGCTACCCAATCCGATGTCCACTGCATTGAACCCGCTTGCCTCTCACGCGATCGCGCACACCTCGCCCAATCCACCGTCGATGATGCCCAACAGTTGTCCGATCGGCGTGCCGCACAGCCCAAATTTTCCCGCTTCCGCGCCCGCTCCCGCTCCAGCTCCTGGAACACAACCACAACAACCACAACAACCACCGCCGCCGCCGCCGCCGCCACCACTGCCACAATCTGCCGAATCTGTATCGACGGTCTTGACACAGGCGTCCGCTCCGCTGCCCATGCCGCCAATCCCGCCGACGCCGATTCTGCCCAACATGTCTGTCCCACCGCCACCCATTCCACCGATTCCCGTTCCAGCGCCCAACACGATTATGTCCAAGTTCAATCCGCCTAATAATCTTGTACCACTTAAATCGGTGGATCCTCCCAAACCTCCCATAGTAACGTTCACAACCAAGAGCCTCAAGAGATTACCGTTGCCACCTGGTATCAACCAGAATGATCTGGAAAGCATAGACTCCCCGCCGAGCCGTTCTCCAAGCCCTCCCAACAAATCGCAATTGAAGTTTCCAGCGTCAGCGAAACCGTTGCAGAAAAAGGGTATCAAGGATCTACCAATGCCGCCAGGTGAATTTCGGACCATCTCTGTTCCGCAATTAGGAACGATATTAATTTTAACTTTTAAACTTACTAATTCAAACTGCAGTTGTACCTGGATCGGAGGACTTGAGCGGCGAGGACGATCCGAACGCAACGCCGCCGCGTTTGAGGGTCGAACGAGTGGCACCGAAGCCCAAGTTGAAAAGACCGAAGATATTGAAACGCAGAGGATCGCGAAATTGCCATGCTCCCATGTCTGCTTCCAGCGGCAAGGATTGGGGCGAACGGTGTGTCGACGTCTTCGAGTTCATCGCACAGATCGGAGAGGGTACATACGGGCAGGTGTATAAGGCGCGGGACAAACGATCCAGCGTGATGGTGGCCTTGAAAAAGGTCCGGCTTGAGAACGAGAAGGAGGGCTTTCCTATCACCGCGGTTAGAGAAATAAAAATCCTGCGACAGCTCAATCACAAAAACATTGTTAACCTCAGAGAAATCGTCACTGACAAGCAAGACGCCCTAGATTTCCGGAAGGTACCTTTCCAGCTACATATTATAGTCAGCCTAATTAGAAAACCTAACTCCAATTTTTGACGAAATGAGATATTTATGTCGGCCAATTTATCTGGAGATTTTGCACCGTTTAGAAAAATTGTTAAACAGTAATTTTTCATTCAAAAAATTAAAAATCTTGAAAGACAAACCTAACTCCCTACTGATTCTCCCACCTCCTAATTTCACGGTTATCCGAAATTACGTGATTTTGTGAGTTAGGTTTTTTAATTAGGCCGATGTTTTTTATGAACAAGAATTGTGTAGATCGACTTGACATGGTGGCATGTTGATGGAATTATCGTGCTATCACATACAAAAAGACAAATAGAAAAAGAGCAAACTGTCTATTATACATAGAATGAAGCTGGTAATTTTTAATGATCTTGTACGATATTTTTCACTGATTCAAAATATTGACAAACACCATTAGAGTATGAAATAATTCTTTACTAATCTAATTTAATTAAATTAATTGGATCTTTATAGAACCAATTGATTGTGTCATTTTCTGTGCTTTAGGATAAAGGTTCCTTTTATCTAGTTTTTGAATACATGGATCATGACTTGATGGGTTTGCTGGAATCCGGTATGGTGGATTTCAACGAGCTCCACAACGCCAGTATCATGAAGCAATTGTTGGATGGTTTAAATTATTGCCACAGCAAGAACTTCCTGCACCGGGATATCAAATGCTCAAATATATTGATGAACAACAAGTACATATGCGTCAATTAAATAATTGACTTCTTGCAACCACTCAATATTATTACGTTGAGTGTAATGTACAATTTTAATAGGGGCGAGGTTAAACTGGCTGACTTTGGATTGGCACGACTTTATAACGCGGAGGATAGACAAAGACCATATACAAATAAGGTGATCACTCTGTGGTACAGACCACCCGAACTTTTGCTTGGAGAGGAGCGTTATGGGCCTGCGATTGATGTCTGGAGTTGCGGATGTATCTTGGGAGAATTGTTTTCCAAGAAACCTTTATTTCAAGTAATAGCCATTCCTTGAGCTGTAAAAAAACATTAATATTAATCAATATTAATTTGTTATTAATACCGGTGATTTTTTTACCAGGCCAACATAGATGTAATGCAATTGGAGATGATCTCGAGGATTTGTGGGACGCCCACTCCTGCTGTTTGGCCTTCTGTGATAAAATTACCACATTGGCATACACTTAAGCCAAAGAAGCAACATAGAAGACGTCTGAGGGAGGATTTCGCATTTATGCCAGGAGCAGCTTTGGATCTCCTAGATAAAATGCTAGAATTGGATCCTGAAAAGCGGATAACGGCTGCCGATGCGCTTAAGAGTGCTTGGTTGAAAAATGTTCAGCCTGAACAGTATGTTATCCTTCTGCATTTTCTCGCGTCCGCTTTTTCTGTGTATCGAGATACGTATGTTACGTCCAAATTTTATTTATAAAATGTATTACATTTACGTATATATTAGGATGCCAGTGCCGCAGCTTCCGACTTGGCAAGATTGTCATGAACTCTGGAGTAAAAAGCGAAAGCGCTTGTTACGGGATCAGCAAGAGAGTGCTACAGCAAAATTGCCTCCTCTTCTTCCCTTTCCGAATAAAGGAGGTCCCAACAAGGATGATCTGTCGGATGTCGGGGGGTGAGTAAAGCCGTAAAGAAATCAAATTTACGAGCTGCTGAGACGTACATCTCGATGCCAATCAAGAACTAATTTGCTTCTACACGTAGATGGCTGTGTACGACAGTTGTGCTTGGCATTTATTTTTTAGTAAATATGCATTGTTCAAGTAATGAATTTCTTGGAAATGAGAAGTGACATCGAAAAGAAAATGTAGTATTTCTATTTCTTCCGATTCTCGTTTGCATGCCGACCTTCCTTCCTCTCAACCTAATGAATCAACGAGTTAATTTTAGTTTCGTTCACAGTCGTTCAGACACGACGACGGCAATAACGCAGAACAATGGAAAATAGAAGCACGAAACATCCTTCTCTGTTCGTGGCTTCGCTCTACAGAGATTGTTTATTCTTAAACGATTGATTTGATAGACTGTGTGAGATATACTTAAATATATGTATTTTTTAGGGCATATACACAACATGCCTCGGCGATAATATTTTATAATAATGATAATATGTTATACCACTTAACTCTTTAGCTGCGCCACGTAACATTTTTTTAATTAAAAATAAACAGCAAGAATACAAATTTCCATATTGATTTTAATATAAAAAGATGTAATAAATTAACAGTGAGCATAGTCTCTCTTATACAGCTCTTTCACCGCAAAGTTTTCGGTTTCAGTTATATGGTATTTAAGTTATTCGATTGTAAAATATATTTACCACTTGCAGCTAAAGGGTTAATTATCGTCCATATCGAATCATTTACAAGAATTGTTATAATTATATTATTACAGTCCTCTATATAAATGCCTAATAATCGCCACTTGTAACGTATAATCTCTATCTATACAAGAAGGCATACGTCCTAGTAATTTCTGTGATTCAGTCTACCATTCGTTTCCAAGAACGATTGTAAAAATTAAATTGTTGATTTATTCAGTTAAATTTAGGTTTATGTACATATCTCGTCAACATTATATGAAACGGGAACATATATGTATACATAAATATATATCAGCACATATACATATATACCGCAAAAAGAGTATATGCGTGCGCTCACTTTAGTATATCGAAATGAGGGACATTTGTGTATAATTTTTGCGCACATGCATACTGATTTAGATTCTTTTAAAGATTGATTTATAACATTTCTATATAAATATATACTTGTATTCATATTCAAACATACAAGTGGAAGAATCGTGGTTAAAAGAAATAACGATTGTAAATAAATATAGAGGTCACATTAGCGTGATTTCTCCTTACTGTTTTTCATAAAAAAAAGACTATTACTTTAGGTACGTACAGATAGGGTGTAAAACGACGATCTGTACAAATATATGAGCTCTGAGCTGTAAGGCTTTGTAATGTAAATATATAGGCAAAGTGTTGTACAGATACGAAGGATGTACTGCATTGGAAGACCGAAGAAACACAAGAAGATCAAGATTAAAAGTGGATATTAACCTTGATACTGTTGATTTTATTTATAATTAATTCCAATTTATTTAGATATTTCATTTTTTGGCGCTTACCATTTATACTTTAATTATCTCCTAGCTACTGTATTACAATTTAGTGATTCATATATTACTGATAGTTATGATGAGTTTCTCCTAATGTATGAACAGCGAATCATTGTGTATTTATTCAGTATTTACACTTTGTTTTTGCATGTACGGTACTGGCATTATTCTTATGTTGAAATTCAGTTTTTCGGATGTTTTCTAACATCACAGCAATGTAACGTAATATTCGAATGCTGCAATATACTTAAACATATTCGGAGACATTTATTTTAAATTATCTTCTCTGAATAAATCTACCGTTATCCAAATTTTATTATCCATTTTATTATTCAATTTTTTTAGGTTTTAATGTTTTACTTTTATGCTTATATATTATGTTTGCTAATATTTCTCTAACAAATTTTCAAGCAGCACTCGACAATTATCATGGAAAATACTTATTTACCAGCGTTTACTGATTCATATGTGTAAAATAAAATATATGTGTTACTGTTTCTACTTATATATTCCACAATTTTGACACATATAACATTTTTCGTTATTTATTTTTAGAAATAAAGGCAGGTAACTCGAATGTTTTATTTCTTTAATATATAAATATTAGAATCGCATATTTCTGATAATAAACCAAGTACAATAACAATGGTATAAATATGAGAATGGCATAGAATAAATGTTGAAATGTTTATTATATTTATAGTAATAAATTAAAACTTTTAATAAGTAGAATTTTAAAAATTAAACTGGTTGTATAATTTATCTGTATTTTTACATACTGCATACTATATTTAAAACACTCACTCTCACACACACACTCACACACACGCACTCTCTCTCTCTCTCTCTGCACATTCTAATATATGAGTTTCTTTGCATAATAATAGAAATTATTCTTCAGTTTATATATCGTATTACTTATGTGTATTACATACACTAAGTTCTGTATTCTGTAAGATTTTCGCTCTGGAAGCTCTGTAACTCTAGCTCTTTAGCCGTTTCTTCTTTTCTCTCATCACTCATCACTCTTTCTCTCTTACTCTACAGTGCTACATAGCTTATAAAGATACAGCGTTACAAAGCATTTTTACAGAATATACCCATAATTATGTGTACTCTGCGCTATTATATGTGGATGTATAATAGCGTATGTGAGTATGTAAAACAATCATACAGAAGAAGGAACGATATAACAAAATCGTTTTATGTACCAAAGTTTATGTTCTCTGACATATATCTTATATACATTTATGTGACAATATCAATAACACAATTAAATAACACAAGTCCTTCCTCGTGTTTTTCGAACGAAAGAGTATAGAAGTATACGTATATGTTTTTTGAGATAATATGATAGAAATTATGTAAAATACAATAAAGTCATGGTCTTCATGTAATTTGCAATGTCCCCAATGGACTGGTAGATTACAGTATAATGAGACAATCTTGACATTTATATTCTATAACTATGTTTTGTGCTTCAGGATTTAAAAAACATTTGGTCTTTTATATCGTAATGTTTTCTCTTGTACAAAAAATGTTACAGATACAGACGAAGATCTATCAATATAGAGTATATTCATGATAAAATAATATTTGTATAACTGGTAGGTTTATAAACAAAGATGTATAAAGTACTTTGGAAAATATAATGTTTCAAAACATGTCACATGTTTTTCCATAGAACTTTAATTAAGAAATCTACATTAAACATGAAGTCTAATAATATGACGATTTATTTGATGCAACAGTAATACGTGATAAAGAAAATATTAAAAGAATGTTTATAGAACAAATAGCTAATTATATTAGTCAAATTATAATGTTGAGTATTGATAAGATTTTCTTTTTTTTTGTTAAATAGTATATTTAAAAAATTTAACAACCTGTTTATACAAATACATTTAAGATAAAAAATGATATTTTACTCATATTGTTAATGAATGTTGCTCCATTATTAGCATATCAAAAAATGTAGTTACCAGTCATAAAAACTATACAAGATAATGTCGTAATTATATGGTAAAATGCTATGTAAGAATGCGAAGTATAATAAGAATAATTTATAACAGATTTATATACCATATATAAGCTTAGGTAATTTAAATATATATGAATTGGGTATGCATATATGTATGAATACATATACTGACACACATACGCGCGCGTGCGCACGCGCGTGTGCGTGTTATTCAGATATACATAATAATTATTATTATCTAAACACAAGACATTTACATGACTGTATTAATACGTGTATTGTGGAATATGTAGAAAGTGACATGTATGACCTTGGATAAAAAATTATAGACATGGTAAATGGCACGTAATGTCTAATGGGAGAAAATTATGTTTCAGGAGATAATGTAATTGTGGCTGAATAATAGATGGACGAATTTTGTAGCACTTGTAAAAATATATAATAGGTAACGAAAGTTCCAAATCTTAATACGTGTTTACGTCCAGAGTGTTCAATTTTATTGACTCATATCTACAAAGTATGTGAATCACGTAACCAAACATGTGCTTGAGCTTTGCTAACCAAATAATAATAATATATAGCGATAATAATCACTCTACAATATTGTTATATACAGTATAGGATCTATGTACAGCGATGCATTAACTTGTAATGAAGAGAAAACATCCTGCTATTCTTCATTGTTCTACGATATTTTGTTACATAAATAAACAATAAATAGAATTTCACGATTGCATCTTTATATCAATACGCTATGTGCATGTGTAATTTTAGTGCGTAATTGGGTTTGTTCTAAAACACGTTTGTATGGCTTGCTAGTTGCATGATCTTCCATTATTTCTTCATATAGCTAGGTTAAATATAACGCAACAATATTTTGATAAAGTTAGTTACAATATTTATAAATTTTTTGTTGAGAAAGTTATTTACATAATTTTATATTTCAAATTTTTTAAAATATTGTCATTAATTTTTTATTACAAGTGAGTCTCATGTAAACTGCAAGTGAATCAATATCACTGCATTCACTGTCTATATTTATTTCTATTTTATCTTTAAGTACTTATTAAATCTTCACACAAGGCTCGTAATTCTGTTACAGATCCTCTAAACGACTGAAGATGGAAGCAGGCTATAACTCACATCCAAGCAGGCTTGGCGCGGAAACTCATTACGGTGAAGATAACTTGTTTAATCAGAGCGGGCCATACATAGTGTCCACGCCATCGTACTATTATAATACTTCACCGCCCGTTAAGCAGCAGTCGAATCTAAAGGGAGATAATCAACCGTTGGAAATGTGTACCGAGGATAATCTTGCTCGGAGACTGATGATTCTCACGAACGCCTTGAATCAGGGAAAACCGATTCGGGTCGACGATCTTCTTTCGTTGCGGTCGGACCAGAATGAGGTAATTATAAAAGGAAAACTTACCAGGTAATTTTATATTGTATTTCGCGACAATTATAACAATCGCTTCGTTTACATTGATATCAGTTATGTAATTTTTATATTTAGGAAATATTTTTCAGTAAGATAGAATAAAAGAATTGCTCCCACTTCTTCAACGCGATGCGTACAGTGATTACAATCTTGTGATATTTACAGTGCGATTCCAAGGTAGTACAATTGTTGGCTGATCTACGCGCGGAGCTACGCCTCGTTGCAAACGCTCGACCAGGCGGACAATTGGACCCTCATCTTCCTATACTGAATCCACCTCTTCTAGGTTTGTGACTTTCGGCATTGCATTTCACATTGATATTGCAATTGACATACAACTTTTTTCGCAGATACGAGCGCGCCGCATATGCCAGGCAATTTCGACGCACACGCGGTGTACGCCGGCGACGATGCAGTGAGCTCTCACGGGAGGTGGTCCCAGTTGGCCACTGTCGGTGTTCGGAACGCTCTGTCGACACTCATATCGTATCACGGTCTGGATAACATCTATAATCCCGCTACTTCTACCGCTATTGGCCGATTACCGGCAAATAAACCGCCCGGACAGCCCAACCTGGCGCAGAACCTTTTCCTGCCCTCGACTTCCTCGCAACAATCCACTTTTAGTTCGTAATGATTTTACAATGTCGTGGTACATGACAGTGTTCGGTGTATGTCTGTGTGCGTGCATGCGTGCGCGCGCGTGTAAAATCAGAAAGATTCTATAAATCGTTATTTTTCAAGTTATACTAATGAGAGTGCGAGAGGGAGAGAGAGTGTGTGTGTGTGAGTGTGAGTGAGAGTGAATGAGTGAGATTGAAAGAATGAGAGAATGAGAGTGCGAGAGGTATGTCTATCTGTGTGTGTATGTGTGTGTTGTTGCGTTTGTGTGTAAGAGAGAGAGAAGATGGTACGACCATATCATCAATTTGTCTATAGTCTCCATTATCATCCATTAGTCCTAAGTGCACGTTCACAGTGTATAATTGTACGATATGCGACCAGATACTTAATTAGAATACGACTTCTCTCCCGATGACAATGGTATTATAGTTGTCATATAATATACACTAAATTACTAATGACACGAATATTTCCAAGTTATTTTTCGATCAGTCACGCGCTGAAAAGTATTCTTTAACGTTTCTTTCCTGCATCATTACGAAAGGTCTGTGATACACATGTGTATATACATATACATACATTACATATTGCGAGGGTAGGAAGCTGAATCTGAATAAAAAAAGGAGCTCGACTCTGACGCTTGTTTTCCATTTAACAAAACGAAAAAAAAGACTTTCGTTCACAACACTCGAAGCGAGATCTTTAGAAAGGTTTCCATTTTAAATCTCGTGAAAGAATTTTATTTTCAAGAGATGTTAGGCGATGCTGAGGGAACGTTGATAAATTTGTGTAGCAACAGTAACGCTAAAAAATGTGAATATTTATTTATTGTTTAAGGTTTTTTATATAAGATACTAATGCTTATTTATTACGAACGTATTTACAATGTACATATATGCTAAGAATATATAATAAAGACATACGTCGACAGAAGAATCTCTCAAGGCTCGTCAAGTCGAAACGTATCAATGTATTTATTCGTTTTTCTACACTTAACATTTGTTTCCGAATTTGATCAGTGCTATATGAATATTTTTATGACTCTCCAAGCTATACTTTTCTTTTTTTCTTTGCAAAAATTAATCGCCCAAAATTGTACTTTTGGTGCCCACCAACAGACGGTCCTGAACTTCACGACATCTTCACTTTGTGCATAAACTATAGACTGTATGTACAGTGACTGTTATGGCGGAAGGTGAAACACGTCGAAACGTGCGATCTGTACATACAAAGAAAAGTTACAAAGTTCGTATAGCCAACTAGTGAAGTTAAATCGTGAAAATAGATTGTATTAACACATTTGCGACTTTTCTAGAGCGATTGAAGTAGATACTCGCCGAAGAAACGGGAGAGCTACACGTGTTGCTCCGTAACGATACAAGCGTGCTCCGTTAACGACAATGTCAGTAACTCTGCAGTTCGAGTGTCCAACTTATAACGAGACTGCGAGAAAAGCAATGGAGAGCTACATTGGAATCTTGCAAAAAGCATTTGAACATTATCAAAGTAAGTATATAATAATTACTGTAACGGTTGTGTCTCGCACTTTTTCCTGATAAATATTACAATAGTGTTAAAATAATTATTATTACTTAATTTTTATACCGTTTTACACGAAGTTATGTGTTATTGAAGTCGTCAAATTCATACAATTTAAAGTTGTAAACGTTTAAATACTTTGGAAAACTTTTATATAGAAACTTCTGCCCTCTAGAAGTAACAGAAGGAACTAAGCTTAAAAGCCGCAAAAAATATTTGTGCTGCCACCTGCAGTCAATTATTTGAATTAAGGCCTGTCCATAATGCTAAGGCCGGTATTCATAGGCCTCTAGTTTACACAGACTGCTTAATTGGCGTATCAAATAATAAGTAACTAGTAAATGGATTTAGTCATTGGCTGATCGGCTGAAATACACAATTTGATACGCGTATCAAATAATCGGTGTAAACTAGACTCAGATCTTATATTCAAGACCGTCTTGAATTTACCTAAAGATGCTGTTATGGAACATTTAATTGGCTATGGAGTATTCATGTGATGCTATGAAATTTCAGATTTGACCAATTATAACACAATATCACTTTAATCTGAATTTTCTCGCGAAAGCGCGCGCCAAAATTTTAATGTGTTACGATCTAAATTAAGTTATTTATAGCTTAATTACCCCTAGTTGGATATTTAAATGACTATTATATATGATTATTATTCATACATATTATATATGGTTCAAAAAATTCAACCGCGTTTGTAACATGTTAACATGAATTGCGTCAGCATCAATATACAACTAATACAAGTGGTTTATATATACACTTAATATAATTTTTGTTTCACAGATTTGTGGGAAGATTATATAAAATTGCAGGAAAAATGTCAAGAGTATAATGTGTAAGTATACAAATATTACGTGTTTATATGTCATTTGTATTTATAGAGCCGATTTAACTGTCTTCGATTAATTTAATCGTGATTAAATTTGAGAGGGTCCCGCGTTAGCACAAATCCACTTGGACCTAAGCATCGCAGACACAGGTCTTTATATTGGCTGCAGCCTAGGGACTTTTTAGTAAACCACCAATCAGAAAATTTTATATTAAATTAACCAATTGGTGATGTGCGCTATCGGATCCCTCTTTCAAATTTCACATAGTTTCATTGGAATTCAATACAATTCAACAACATTTTGTCAATGTATATGAAAAATGTATGATTTCTCGTAGGTATTCTTCATCACAAGCGACAGTTACTACATCTATGAAAACAAATGATGAAGCAACGTCCCTACGGTCCCAACACTCGAGTAACGCTAATGTGGAAGAAAGTAATATCCCGTTATTGGAATTGGATACAATGAATACAAGTCTTATTAATTTGGATTACGATATGACAACTAGTTCTACAGATGCAAGTGAATCATTGCGTAAAAGTGCCGACCAAAATAGTCCGCCAAGAAGTCCAGTATTCTCTAGAACAGTTTCAAGGACTCGTAGCAATTCTGCAAAGAACTTTGTGCGTTCACCTAAAGCAGTGTGCGATAACTCGCAACCAGCCTCAAATATAAATACACGTGATAACATGAAAAAGGTTTCTTCAAAGTGTAATCACAAATTAGAATTAAGTACAACGCACCATGTAGAGACCACATTTTTGCCAAATGGAAAGAGATTGAAACAGTCTCGGCTTGCATTTTGTCCAGTCAAGAGTGGCGAAAAGCTGAAACAGTCTTCAAATGTAAACAGACATAAGGCTAATATATTACAAAATACAGAAATTACAGAACGAAATTTTGTTGATGTTTCTGTGGCAAATACTGCTGCAGACGCAACTGTTACTGGAAATAATGCTACAAATAATACTAGTGAAATTTTCGAAGACGTAATAGAAATCAGTCCTACACAAAGAAATGTTATATCTAAAGTCAAACGTTGTTTGAGACTCAAGAGGAAAGTTCCTGTAAAACACGTGAACAAATTTTCCCCGACTAAAGATAAATACTCAGGGCCTAGTGCTGCTTTAAAGACAGTAGATGTAGATTTTGGGTTTTGTCCTTCACCTAAGCATACGCAAATGGAAGGTGCTAAATCTTTGATGAATACTGCAGTTGACACGTTAAAATATAATAGAAATTATCTTTCACCAATAAAAATGCACAAGAAGACTGATGTTCAAGTTGAAAAATTTATTGAAGCTCGAAAGAAAGATCAATTATTAACAAATAATGTACCCATTCAAAATATAAATGACTCTACCTCAGAAGACGAAACTTTTTATCTGCCTGCAGAAGAAGCTGCAAATAAAATTGACATGGATAATTTCAGTTTGAACGACACAGAAAACAAGCCACCTAAAAAAAGGTTGTTATTTGATAGGTTGAATGTGTAAATATCGTTTAACAATTATGGTGATGTAAGTTGTTTTTATATATCTAATGAAAGTATTATTTACAGATTGCCAAAAAGGAAAACAGATTTTACAGAGCAGCTTAACATGAGATGTAAAGCCGACAGGGCGAAGTTAAACGGCTGGGATTGCTGGGAATGCAAAGAGGTAATACTAACAGTATAATTATATAAAATATGTACAAAAAGCAGGTATTTTTTTTCATAAAACGTAATCCGTGATGTTACTTGATTTTTAGTATTATGAGAATTTGTCGCTGTCGAAAGAAGAACTACAGAAAAGGAAGAATCAATGCTCACGACATCGACACAAATATGAGCGACCAAACACACCAGAAGGTACACTATATCATTTCATCGCTTTTTTTATGTTATGTAATAAAATGTAATCTTTTTAAAGGTTTTTGGAATCCAGAATTTCCTGAGACGTTGTCATGCACCTATCGACAGAATTGAAGCCGAAATGTGTCTTTATGCCAATTTGATTCTCAAACTTCAATATGGTTCGTAGTACAGCAACATTATTATAATGTAACGTGTATGTACAATTCTTTGTCTTATTCTAATTCGTTGTTATTCTTATTCTAACTTTTTTTATTCTGTTCGTTACGATTATTTATTACTCTGCACATATTTCATTCAAGTAAGAAACAATTGAATTTCAACAATTCCAAAATAGAATTTTCCCATACAGCACGCATGTCTAAAAGACATCTTTAAGACATCTTTAAGTCGTCTTTTAGACACACATATCTAAAAGACGACTTAAAGACATCTAAAAGATGTCTTTTAGACATGTGTGCTGTATGGGTTGTCTATTCATCGTGTGATGTGGATAATAACAATGTGTTTTAAGTATCATTAGTTGATAAATATAAAAGTATTCTATTTTTGTAAAGATCTTAAGATAAAAATTAATATTAAGTAATTGTACAAAATGTTTACAATTGAATATAATATACACGTTAAAATATGAACGGAAGGAAATATAAACGTGTTCATGGCTTGAACATAGATCGATTTATTATTTTACAACATATATATAGTATTATATATTGTGGGTAACATAGTATAGATTTATATATAATTATATCATTTATATTTATATATATATAGTCATCCCTTTACATAAAAATATATAATTTGTTTTGTGAGTCAGTCGGTGCTAAAGAAGGCTAATCAAACTTAGTTGCGGTAATCAAGCGAAGTTTGACACAGTTTCAAGGTACATTAGTGTTTCCTGCTATTCCAAGTCCTCTCTAAAATAATATTTGCGTCACGCATCGCTGTGAAACAATTGTATTTTTTCTTCATCTTCACTTTTTAAAATTCATATTTCTCGATAAATTAAATAGACGTTGCAGATATGTATAGAATACAATCGCAGAAAATAATACTAGTAAAATTATATCCAAAGTTTTGATACGAATTTAATCGCCAAACAGTGATAAAATAGTAATATACCTATCTGCAAGTACATTTACGTGTATATTCTGTATCGTTTAACATCACGTTCATCAAGCTATAATTTCCCAGCAAAGCGACCGCGCGCACACAATACAATACAATATTGTAAAACATTAAATCACATTACCGGTTCTCTTATACCAAATACTGGAAAAAAACGTTGATTATCGATTGACTAGATCATTTCGTATCATAAATATACACGGTTTTTGTTTTTTTTTCTTGCAAGTTGATATAATAGTTTGTGACTGTCCGATCGATCATTCGCGTGTATCTACTTAAAAAATATATCTGATAATTGTATAATAAAATCTCGTATTTGATACTTTCGCGAATAATTCGTTTATCAAATGAATATATAAAATATTCACTTTTTTTACGAAGGAAATAAAATTAGGAAGTAAATGTTCCAAAACTCTGTAAATAGCTTCACTAAAGTAAAGGAGAAAGCCCGATAAGCCACGATTTCGGCCCCCTCTGGATTTTATTGTAAATTATCAGAAACAATTTCTCTTAATATATAAAACACTACATTAAGCTGTTTCCAGCCTAACCGGACATGTTCAACGTAATCGTTATCTGGTTTAAACATAGAAATTCGTATTTGTGGGTATTTTGTGCAGTACTATACAACTTGCCTGAAAATCATGAATTACGTTGAACATGTCCGTTTAGGCTGGAGACAGCTTAATTTAGTATTCTATGCATTAAGGTATTGTTTCTGCTAATTTACAAGAAAATTCAGAGGGGGCCGAAATCGTGGCTTGTCGGTCCTCCTCCTTTATACACATTTTGCCACGTACGTATTTTGGTGCAATTGACTTAGCTGATTGGTTTACGCTGTTTTTATTATTTAACAAATTCGAGGTCGAAAAATCATTCATTCCTTCCTTTTTAAAGTTATTTTAAAACACATTAATCAAAGGATACATAGAAATTAATATAATTCAATCAGTGTACACAAATTATGTACACGTAAAAAAATCTCATCCTTTTGCAAGTGTTTTTATAACATATAACAGGAACGTCTTGTTTTTCACAAATGTATTTTACATTATAAAATAAATTAAATAATTATGGTTGGACTGAATCAGTGTCCCATACAGCACCAAGGCTTTCAGAAACATTTCAGAAACATTGTAACATTGCAGTAATGTTTTCTGAAATGTTTCTGAAAGCTTTGGTGCTGTATGGGGTACGATACAGTTCTAATTAGATATTGAAATCCGATAAAATTCCCGATAGAGATGATTTTATATATAAATATTTCCTAGACTTTTGTCCACAAAAAACAATATATTTTGTCCCACGGCAGACAAAAATCCCAACCCGTATTCACATCGCATATTTAGTGCTAAACGCAGCCAGTCTGGTCGTCAGTCCATGATATACTGAATATAATCTTTATATCAAACAAATTAAACTTCGATCTCAAACGGCCGCGTTTAATAATAATAAATCGAGGTGCTAGTTAGACTCTACCAGTATAAAACGTTCCGTTGTTTCACCGATCGATCGCACAGTATAATAATCGTTCAGTTACTGATACATTGCCTCGGACACCTAGCTATGTCCATCTGTCTGTCTGTTGTCTACAGGTACTTGACCCTTGAAATAGGCCGCGTTTGAATGAGCGGAAGGGGACGTTACGCGATTAGTCGATGTAATAAAACAGTACCATCTCACGGAATAACGGTAAAGAAAAGATTAAAATTCATGTACCACGTTTAAAGTATGTACACTTCAAGCTGTCTTATCATATACAAGTATATCGCTCACTTTCCTCTTCTTTACACATTGTACTAAAATTAAAACGGTATTTAAATTAATATGTCTCTCCGACTATATGTATGTGGGTACATATTTCTCATCATAGGAGTTTAAATTGATTATCATTCTTTTGGGGAATCGGAATACGAAAGAAGCTCGCGACGACTGGTGCACTCTAAAACTAATCACGCGAAGGTGCGTCTCAATCGGGAAATGCCGAGCGTGTAGAAAACTCCAATGAAATAACCGATTGATTCACTCTTTACTCCAATAGGATACATCATAGTAAACAGCTAGTGAAAGTATTTAGCTTTTTTTATGACACATCGAAATCAATAGAATAGATACCTTTTATCCCTCGTTCGTATCTCGATTACAATTATTTTAACCCTGAAGAGTATAAAAGAGCCGATATACACAATCAGATTTTCTCCTACAAGAATGTTACCGAATCATGAGGAACAGAGCTTCAACAATCGCTTAGGAAAACAATTGAATCTTTTGAATCTTTCATAAACTAAATAAACGTGAAGATATAACAAGATTCCTATGAAATCTACTAGAATTAAATCTTGTTAAATCTATCAGAAAAGGTGTTATCAGCTTGCCTATTTTATACCGTTTAGGATTAAATTTGCGTCGCAGCTTTAGCCTCACTGTTCCGTTTTCGTGGGTGGCGAAGAACCGGTAGCCGTAACGGATTTTTCATTTGACGACACGGGTAAAGCCTTGAGAATCGCGTGTACCTCTTCTGCCACTGCCATCAGGACGAACTCAAACTGTTGTTTCGTAGCAACCATGTCTGGTCTTTGATCTCTAATATGCTCCAGAGTAGCGGCGATATCGATTTCCTTCGCTCCCTTCGTCATACGATTTAGAACCATATCGATCAAGCAGTAAGTACCGGTTCGTCCAGCTCCATCACTATAAGATGATCAAATATGAAAATACACCGCACAATCGCCACACTAATTGATCTAAATAATATAAAAATATGTACTTACCTGCAATGCACGACTATCGGGCATGACCTACCGCGATACGATTTATTAACTTTCCTAGAAAGAGATAAAATCGAGATAAATTGAAAGATTATTTCTGGACATTGTTTAATGCAAATAAAAGATTGGATATCTATATTTTAGTAAAATCGGATTTTATATACAATATTACAGAATAGGCAATGAGATTATTTAAACGCAAAACAATTATTTGAAAGCAAAACAAATAATAAAAGTATAAATATAAACGATAATTTTTTAAAAGAGATGTCAGAAATGTGACACGAACCTACGAAACTCGAGCAGAGCCTTTGTGGAATACGGTACGCTGTTCTCCGGCCAGGAGAGGAAGTGGAATTGCGTGACGGTACGAGTCTCACAAGTGCGCAGATTTTTCAGGTAGAAAGACCGCACTAGATAATCATCACACCAAAAGTGCTCCGACACCAGGTGTACCTCGTAGATGTGATAAAGCTCCGATCCTTCTTCGGGCCAGTAACGATGACACATGGCATGGCCTTCCTCAGTAAGTCGTGTCAGCATCACAATCACCACGCTGCCTTGTTCCCAAACCAGTTGCCAGAAGTCAGACGTAGTCTGCGGTAACGGCCCTTGCGTGGCTATGTAAGCCGGATTTCGGGGATCGTGATCCGTCTGCAACGAACAAACGATATTACGACTACGGATTTGACGACAAAATTCAATAAGTGCTCCCGCAGTAAATGACAAATTAGATATAGAGAACTCCCTATTGTGAGATAGGCTTCTAATAGCAGGTTTTCAACATGCAAATTCAATCACAAATCTTTTTTCGCAATGATTACACAACCTAGCAATGAATTTTCCACTAAATAGATTTCGCCCCAAGGGCAGTAAATTCATGATGGGACCAACAGACGATGCCTACTAATTTAGCAGAAGCTCCGCTATCTCGCATTAGGATCTTATCTCATAATAGAAGACTTTCCTCTATTAAACAAAAAAAAATCGTATGTTGTTTTCTTCGTGATTCTTATTAAAAAAAAGCAAAGTTTCGATCAACTTAATTGCTTCAGTTTGCACTCAATACCTGTAAAGAAACCATGACCTTGTCTCTTTTTCTATTGAAACGTTTTGGAAAGTATGGTTATTTTAAATTATGTCGAACAACGTGTCACGTTAAATTCCTATCGCTGGTTTTTACTTTTTCCTTCGAGGTTCTCGTTTAAAACACGAATATATAGATCAAATATAATGTGGCGACACATTGTAAATTGTGCAGTTAAAAAATATAAAGCTCTTGCTCAATAAACATGCCAGTTCGTTCGCTCGTGTTACGAATACGATGCATTAAAAAAAAAAGATGTCTACCGCAAGCGCCAGCCTTACAAATTGTGTCGAGAAACGATTTTGTAATTTTTAAACGATCAACTTGACATGCCCGTCGACTATAAAACTTACCGACTTCTATACGCATATATTGCGATGTGGCAGCCGGAAAACCGAATGTCGTACGTATTTCAGCAACGTTATCGTGAAAACGAAAATATTAATTTTATTTTTACACAAGTTACCTTGCCACTATTACATGGAATAATTAGAAAATTTTTCATTCCATCATGTACTGAATTTTTCGCAAATTGAAGCATGATATCCTCCTGAATCTTAGTTTACACAACGCTATGACAATCTAATATCTTGTGGTATCAGTCCATGTGGTATACTATACGTAGAGGAAAGTCCTCTATTATGAGATAGGTTTCTAATATGAAATTACACAGTCTAACAATAAATTGTCCACTAAACAGATTTCGCTCCAATGGCAAGAAATTGATAATAGGCATCAAATGATGACGCCCATTAATTTAACAGAAATTCCGCTATCCCATATTAGGATCCTGTCTCATAATAGGAGATTTTTCTCTACTCTTATGAGACTTTAATGAAAGAGCGACAATCTTCTTATTATTCACCGATGTTCTGCGAATTATTTTTGATACAATGAGATATGAAACATATTTAGTTTTGAAAAAGAAAAATGTTCAGGCCTCAGGAGGATTCATTGAAGGAATGATGAAACAAGAGAGATATACATATCGTACGGTTACTTACAATCGTGGAAGCATTTATGTAGTCGGAATTATTGGCGTTTGCGAGATCGTTCAAGACTATTCGAGAGTGATCGTAGGGAAGTGCCGCGCCGGGACGATTCTGCTTGATATTCGCATCCCTCTCCGCGATCTCCGTGGACGATGGTTCGGCTTCGTAGGCGCACAATGCCGCCCATTCTTGATCCAGGCGATCCTTGTTTTTTAGGTGATCCTCCATATAACTCTGCAAAGTACGAGTCTGATATAGAGCGAGAAGTACGAACATGAAGTAGCACAGCGATTCACCAAATGGATCAAGCGCAACGAAAAATCCGAAACGGTGTATTTAACTTTTTTTAAAATTTAAAACGTTCTTTTCTTCTTTCTCCTTTTTACTTACGAGAACCATATGACCGGTCGATATGTCCATATTGGAAAGAGCAGGTTCCTCGCCCCAGGAGGATGTACTGGAGCGATTGGAAGGCAGATTGGATTCGTTTTCGCGCGACAGGCTTGTGATACGCGGCGACTCCAACTTCTCATTCGGCTGTTTCGCCTGCATTCTCGCTCTGCATAGATCCTGATAGTCCTTGGACGCTTCTGGATCCGGAGTAGCTAGCCCGGCAAGCTTCGCTCGGTATTTCGCGTGGCGCCGCGCAATTATCAGCGTGACTATTGCAGCTGTGATCGCAGCCGCAACTCCACCAGCTACCAATGCACCGATAAAACTGGAACTCATCTCCCTCTCTCTGACTACTTCTAGAGTAGCTGGTAATTTAACCTGTAAAACCGTGCACTCTAATTGATAATAATAGCAAATTAGGTAATATTATGTTTATTTGGCAATTGTTCAAACACTCTATTTGTTGATAAAAGAGATGTGGGTTGTTACAGTACCTTATCACCTATACCCGCTCGAATAACTTCAATTCCTAGCGCGTTTTGTAATTTCCCACGAATGTTATCTAAAATAGAATGTATTTTGTTTTTGCACACGGATTTGCTTGTATCTCACATCTTATGTAATATTCGTATTTTTATTATAATTCATATTCACATAAACCTTAATTTACGAGTTAGACGATAAATTATCATACCAATGTTGTTAACAACGTCGGTTGCATTGTAGTTTTTCTCATTTGGAGTAACTGTGAACGTTACTTCTGCGTAGCCCACTCGTACATTTTTTAACGTTTCGGGAGGCAATTCTAGGAGTTCTTCAACCTGAAAGTTTACATTCAAAGGTTCACAAAAGGTTATTTGCAATTAATGCTTTTTTTAAATATTTCAAATTATAGTTTCTACCTTAGCAACCACGTGTTTTCCTTTATCCCAGTTATGAAACTTCTGCGCAAACACGATGTAGACGGAATCTAAGTCGACATTTTTGTAAGTTTCTGGATCACCATTGCTCGTTTTGTACGTATTATCGCTTGTGTGTAGTTCCTTCTTAGTCAATGGTGCATATACTTCATTATTCTACAATACGATGTCGTTGTAATGTCTACAATCTAATAGGCCAAGTATCTCAGCTTGATTATACTTACGTCCTGATTATTTGTCTCGGAATAGTTTTTGTCAAGGAGAACTGCAAGAGCGTAGGCATAATAAATCGAAATGAAACAAAGTGACAATTTTTGTGAGTTGCGTCTTTGGGATACTAATGAACCAGATAGCCAGTGTGAGTACAAGTTGCTTTCATATTGCTAACAAAAATGTTAGTATCATGCTCTGCATCTATGTCGTCCGTTGTTTTCTAGCATTTAATGTCGGAAATGAAACATTTGCATGATCCAAACATGCTAGCATTAAGTGCTTGACCAGATGTAATAGATATTAATATGTTTATATCTGTTAAACGATTGAAAACAATGTATGCTAACTCTTTTTTAACAGTATGCCCATTCGATGTATTCTTTCTTTAGCTGTGTACTCAACTACGACAATATGTTAACATTATTTTAGCTGTACTTAAATCACTCAAACATTGAATTCGTATTCCTAGCGAAGAGCTAGCATCAGTATTGCTGGCATTTTACTTCCATACATTGCTTGAGTATACTGGCTATCTGGGGTATTTCGAAATAATAGGAAAACTGGTCGTGAAATATAAATTAAACGCAGGTTTAGGTAGAATACTTTACTTACTAGCTGGAGATTGAGTTTTAAATGCGTAATTATTCGTCGAAAACGGCGGTCCAGGTTTTTTAACGTCTAGCCGTTCCCTGCGCTTAAAACCAGCCAACTCTCGTCTCCATAAAAGTGCGTCTAAATCGTCGTCATACATCTCGTCGTGCACAGTGTCTGCGTCAGACGCATTTCAATTTAGCAGCACGATATTTAAACAATCTATTCCAACGTAAAACTCACCACTGGCATCGGATGTAATTTTATATCTCGTGGGTCGTACGATTCCTCCCTCGGTGTATATCCTACGTATCCTCGAAGAAATATCCTCATCGGGTCTCTCGATCTCTCCCGAGTTCTCTTCATCAATTTCGCCATTCTCATAATTGAGATCTTCGTCACGTTCGATCTCTGTCTTTTTCGCATCAGCATCGCTGGAAAACTCGAGGAGCGGTGGTTTCTTTCGATGCTTATACTTCCTAGAGAATACTCTCTCGTATTCCCTCTCACTTGTCTCGTCGTCGTCGTCGTCGTCGTCGGAGGGCTTCAACAATGTGTAATCTGGCGACTTTTCGTTCTGTAAGAATTCAAGATCATCGGCGGACAAAAGTTGTGTGTCATAAGTATTTTCATAGTCATCCCCGGACCTCGATGTCTCGTCTCTCAAAGTATCCTCAAGTGACTCGGTAACATCGTTTTTATAATCATCGAAGCTGAACCGGCGTGTTCTGGGCGGATAAAATTGCTCGCGCATATCGTTCAGTGATTTTCCGTACACATTGTTGTATTTCTCATCAATGATCGAAGCCCGATCGCTCTCGCTATTACGCCATTTCATGTATCCAGAACTGTAAACAAATTTCATGCGTTTCTGATTACATGGTAACAATTATTGCTTGCCACAGAAAATCAATATGCTTAAAAAGTTTAGAAATATTAGATAAAGGAATATCGAACCGTTTTTGGTAAATATTAAATTTCTTACTTGACGTGTGTTTGATAAGTATACATTCTATCCTTTTTATTCTTTTAAAGCTCATGAGTGTTATATTACATTTATCTTGTTGAGTAGGAAATTATTATATAGATGTTATGTAACTGTTACTTCTGAGTTTAATGCAATTGTAATGTTAGTAACTTGTAACATATTTATATCATTTTTATCAATCTCTGTTTTGAAGTAACATAAAACTTACTTGTTCTCGATGTCTATGGGACGATACAGATCGTCGGCCAAATTACTCTCAGGATTTTCATTGTCCGCAGATATTCTCAGTAAAGCGACCGCTGGAACCATCTAAAAAAAATCGATAATGGTTCGTTACCATTAAATAATATTGCAACCAGCTGCATATTTTCAAGAAGTAATCACAAACGATGACTGTCATCGAAAAAAATACATCGATGTGCGTTAGGTCACAATTTATACTGACCTCATCAATAAATTCACTTTGTTCATCGAGGGGTGGTTTCTTCAAATATTCACAGATATGAAAATCACGAAGATTGTTTTGTCTGAAAAACGTTTTCAAGTTCTGTTTTATGAAATACCTGATATTGACAGATATACACATAGAGGAAAGTTCCTTATCATGTGAGATACAATAGCAGGTTTTCAACGTTCAAATTCAATCACAAATCTTTTTCGCGACGATTATACGATCTAACAATGAATTTTCCAACAGATTTCACTTCAGGAGCAATAAATTCATGGTGAAACCAACAGATGATGCTTGTTAATTGAACAAAAACCCTGCTATCTCATATTAGGAATTTGTCTCATAATAGGGAACTTTCTTTTATACAATAATTTTCTGAAATGTATAATAATTTTGAAAATTTTGCGAAATTTTTCAAATTTATAACTGTTTTCCAATAATTTTGAATGTCAAAAACAAAAGATACTGCCACCCTTCTTCAACTACGAGACAATAATGTTTCGGCATAAAAGTTTTTGTAATGTAATATTTAAAATCCTTTTTGTTATTCTTTCTTTTGATTTAGAGAATTCCATTTAGAAAAGTAATTATTGGTATGCACAAAGCATATGACTTTTCTCTTTTACTGACTGTGCAAAAATTTTACATAATGAGAGAAAGAGAAAAGATGCCTCTGAAATCTGTATATATTAAAATTATATTGTTTCACATTCTATATAATCATACACAAAGCTCCATTGGCAAATTTCAGTTCGTTATGGCTTATAGCTACAAGGTCTAGTAAAGCAATATACCCGTATCGGAGATTATGCAATAAGGTTTGCACAATACATTGTGTAAAGGGATGTTTCCATTTGTACCCATCAGATTCCAGTCTCATTAATTGCCGTCTCACCGATTGTAGCAGCTCCAGTTCGCCGATATCAAGATTATATCTGCGCGATAGAGAATAGAGTTGTATTACACCTCAATAATGCATTGATTATGCCGCACTTTATGCGCCAATCGCATTAAAATGTTACGTAGGTGTGCGATAATATAGACGATAAAGACGATAAAGACGAAGTAGCGAGACCGTTTGACGACCCGACGATAAAATTAACCGATTGAAAGAGGATTCAATTTCCTCGATTCATATATATTGCGCTCGCATATACACGTATAATCTCAGTTGACATTTGAAATGTAGACATTTCAGCATGGATAATGAATTCATAGGTGCCACAAATATATCTCAATCTTAAGGACAAGATTTTTATCATTAACTTACTGATATAAATCGTCATTTTCTAGATTCGCGTATCGGGGTATACATTTTCCAAATGCCAGATCTGAAAAAATGATGATTAATTAACATAATTAATTTATGTTCCTTAAACTTAATGAAAGCTCGTAAAAAATTGTTTTTAATACTTTATTTGCATCTATTTTTTTCGTGATACGTGCACAAATAAAAGGGGATTAAAAACTACAAGAGAAAAAGGTCTTTTCGTTTTGTTGTTATCAGTAAACACACTTTGTAGTAGTTACATCTATGTTGTGTAAAGGTAGTGCTAGTGTTCATTGGGTTGTTAATTAAAGAGAATCAATTAATGAAAATTGAATTAAAGAAAATTATTAGAGGAAAGTCCCCTATTATGAGATAGGATCTTAAGATGAGATAGCGGGTTTTCTGCTAAATTAATAGGCATATCATCTATTGGGTCGACCATGAATTTATTGTCCTTGGAGTGAAATTTGCTTAGTGGAAAAATTCATTGTTAGATCGCGTAATCGTTGCGGAAACAGATTTGTGATTGAATTTGGATATTGAAAACCAGCTACGTCATATTAGAAACCTATCTCGTAATAGGGAACTTTTCTATTAATTATTACCGTTGAAACACTTTTCCGTTTGGGGATCGCATACGTCCTCGCTGTATAAACATCCTGAAAACAGAACGATTATGCCAAGAGTTAAGAGAAACTGTTTGGTACATATATGCATTGTATAAGAGAGGTATCGAATCAGGTATTGAGTGTGTATGTGTGTATAGGTGTACTTCCAAACTGTAATAATTAATTAGCTTTGTCATATGAATTCCGAGTATTCGGGTCGAATGTAGATTCAAGCATATGTCCTATTAGATTGCACAAATATTTTGACATCGGTGTGCACTGTGCAATCGGATTTCGTCTTGCCCGAAGGTGGCTGCTTGTGAAACAATTGTCCTGCTTGCTGCGTCGCGACTTGTATACAACGTGGTATAAATATTTCACGGCGCGCAGAAAATTTAGTCTGAGGACAGATTAAATTTAATTGCGCAAATTGCCAGGAATAGCTTTGATGCGTTTAACGTCACGGGCGATTCTGAAGAAAACGCCTTCTACATATGCATATCATCTTAAAGCGCATGTATTTCTATCATGCGCATTTTTCTCACTGAAAATTGTATAAATTTTGACATTCCTTATTAGGGAACTTTGTAAGAAAAGAAGAAAGAGATTCAAATCGGATTGATATCAACTTCTGATTCTCTTACGATTTTTAATCAGTTCTCTACAATGTTTAATAACTTGTCAATCACTGTTCATTCAGCCTCCGTACAGTTTTTGATTGCTTTTCTTCTCAATTAGTGTTTTAAATTATTTTGTCCTCTTCGAAAATAAATTATTCGTCTTGTAAATATTATTATATTCTTATTACGTGATTTACTATTAAATTAAATCCTTGTAAAACTAAGAATGTGATTGATTATATCGGCTTCCCAGCGAGAAATGACTCGTCAATCGACGTCGACACGATGTCGAATCAACGTCGAAACCGTCAAATCGACATCGATTCAACATCGTTTCGATGTCGATCGACGAATTATTTTTCACTGGGTTGATGTCGGATAAAATCCATACATAAAAAATTACAGGGCTAAATGATTGTGCGTGCTCATACAATTAAATATACACGTGTGTACTTGAGTGCGTAAACAAAGCTTAGACTGCAAAAATACGGAGTGCATTTAATCAATTTAATAAGAAACGAGTCGACATTTTCGACAAATTATGAACAATTTGTGTTTGAATAATTAGAGGACGGAGTGGAAATATGGAACTCCACTCTATTTTTAAGCGATTTCTTGTAAATTATAACTTCCATTTTTTTCAATTCTGGTGCTTAGGTTCCTTATTCTATTGATAATCCATTTCTAACTTTTAATTCATAAATCTCCATTTACGAGAAAAGTTATA